ATATATATATATATATATATATATATATATATATATATACAAAACAGTCAGAATTTATGTTTTTAACTGACATAAACTCTATACAATCAGAAAGAAAAGTCCAATTATTTTTATAAGATACAACACAACAAACAAACAAAAAACAAGTTTGTTTGTAAAGTTCAACTATAGACTTAAAAGTTTTTAATATAGTCTTTATTGGCATTTTTATTTTAATCATATCCTCACAATTAAAATTCTAAAACTGCTAATTAACAGCTTATCATTCCTTGAAGGCATTTCACCCACTGACTTTGATTCAGACAAATATCATCTTAGATATTTGTGAAGATGGAGGTACAGCTGTTTTGTCCAAACATTGAAAATAAAATGTTTCTGTCTCATGCAAGATGTTATGTTCTGAGTTTGTGTTGTGCATGACTCTAAGCTACTACCATACCATACCATACCATACCAACTTTATTTATAAAGCACCTTAAAACAACCATGGCTGACACAAAGTGCTGTACATCAATCTTGACTTGATATATGTAAATCTGACTGGATAACAGCAACTCTTGTGTTGCCGAAGGTCAGCTGGCTGTGATGGCCATCTTGAGTTGGGTTGTACATCCATTGGTTATTTTCTGCAAGTTCTATTAAGGTTTGTTATTGTTCTATGTTTTATTATTTTCTAATCATCAAATATATGTTTTTGTCTTTTTTAATCAGCTCTTATGTATCAATAAATTTCCTACTGCCGTTCATGTGCAATAACTTATTCTATATACATATTCAAAAAGTTGTTTTTTCCTCCAACAATCTAGTGTTTGAACTTATTCCCCACTTGGTTTGTTTTTGCTTTACTGTGATTCTCTTTTTTTATCTGCCCACTACTGCCGCCCTCCTGCTCCTATGCGTCCTACTTCATGAGTAACTCTGCTTTGATGGACACATCCTTTGCTCAGAAAATCCCTTGGTGTCTGTCCAGCCGCCAGCATTGGTTCTGTTCATTACAGTCTCCAGCTTGCCCTGGGCCATCACAGCCCCGTGGGCATTGCCCTCCCATAATGACCAGATGTAGTCTGGCCCTTGAAGTGTGTGCCAACTGGGAGCAGGTGGGCAACCTCACCCAGGGAGCATACCGCACACAGAGTAAGGCGAGAAGTAGGTATGGTGTAGAGAGAGGGTGGAAGGAGGAGTATGTGGAGGGGGGTGTTGAGAAATCAAGTGAACACAGTCTGGGAGACTGGATGATGGTTGTGTGTAAAGCAAACACCCCATATCCACAGACATAAGAAATTAATGCAATGTGGTGCAATGGCCAAACTCTAAAACTTTATAGTTTTGAAAAACAAAAGTTCACGTCCATGCTGTCTTATTCACCAACTTGAAAACACAATCAAAACACAGAAATATTTTTTGCTCTAAATCAAATTGTTAATTTGTCTCTGATTCATTAATGTACTTGTCTACACTGCCCTTTTCATAGAACTACCATTCAATGTGTTCACCTGTCATCAAGAGACCCTTGAGATACCAAAAGTCACATGTAAACAGGTAGAACAAGCAATATTCCTACAACAAGATAATCTAAGATTTGATTCCACCAGCATCCATATGTTGAAGTGTCCCTGGGGAAGACACTGAACCCCTCATTGCCTCTGATGTGTACCTCATCAGTGTATGAATGTGATCTAAAAGCACTGATTAGCTTTGTAGAGACATGATAGAGTGCTGTATGAATGTATTTGAGGACACAGGTTGGGTTTTAAAGATATTTGAAGAGCCTGGTTGGCTATACAGGTGCTATATAATAGAGTCAATTTACATTTGCCATTCTACCACCCCTGTTTTAGTGTTTTGGCTATTATATTGTAGTGTGTGTGTTTCTTTTTCCGTTTCTCTGGAAACTACATACATTTGTACATTTTGAGTGTTTATATGTTAGGCAAGTGAGTACCTATACAACTTTCTGAGGTAAGTGTATACAATGTAATAAAATAGATGTCCAGCAGAAAATTGTGCATGACAGGAAATAGCATTAAATTACACAAAATTACCATATACGTAGATATTTTCTGTTAGTAATTTTTATGGTATGCATTATTATCTAAATACCCATGATGCAACGTAAGAAATCTCAAAGATATGTAATGCTCTGTCGTTTCTACCCAGTGGGGATACCACTTTGACAGCTCTTAACATCTTTTGGGTGTTCAGCTGGACAATGTTGAAACATTACCACACTATACATAAGAGTAGCTGTTCTAATAACATGAACTATAATTTATCAAACCAAAGCCACAGAACACAATCATACCATTATTTTATTTATCATGTTATGATGACAGGAGGGCAGCACGGTGGCGCAATTGGTAGAGCTGCTGCCTCTCAGCGAGCAGGTCCCTGGTTCAAATCCCGGTCCGGGGGCCTTTCTGGGTGGAGTTTGCATGTTCTCTCTGTGCATGCATGGGTTTCCTCCGGGTACACCGGTTTCCTCCCACAGACCAAAAACATGCATGTTAGGCTGATTGGTAACTCTAAATTGTCCCTAGGTGTGAGTGAGAGAGTGAATGGTTGTTTGTCTCGTTTGTCTCTATGTGGCCCTGTGATGGACTTGCGACCCGTCCAGGGTGTACCCCGCCCCTTGTACAGTGATTGCCAGACATGGGCACCGGTGACCCCCATGACCCAAAGTAGAAGAAGCGGGTAAAAGATAATGGATGGACGGATGGATGGATGATGACAGGAAGGATATGCTTAGTCTGGAAATCTCAAATGTAATTGTGATATCATGATTATCAGTGTGTTGTCACAATAACCCAAGGAAAAGTACTTGTATCTAGAATGTCAATATTATTATGACAAAAACCTCATCTGTGAAGGTGTTATCTGCTTTTTTGTGTAATTTGGTGCACTTTATTTGCCTTAGGGACAACAGAAGAAATATAAGGATTATGATGCTACTCTAAAAGAAAAGAAAAAAAAAAAATCCAGACAGTTAGTATGTAAAAAACGTAATGTGCGCTTGTCAAACAAATCTCTCCCCGTTGTCAGTCCTTGAGTGTTTTGTTTCACTTAACTTAAGAAAGAAAAACAGAAAAAAATAGAAAAACACAACACTGGAACTTAACTGTGTGTACAACTGTGATCTTTGCTAAGTTCTTACCGTGGCATTCTGGTTGTGTACCCAGCCAGGTCCCATTGGAAAGACACGTTCTCTCTGGTGAGCCCTTTAGAACGTAACCAGGCTCACAGCTAAAGCGGACAACACTGTTCACAGTAAATTCCTCTCCAAGGCGGATACCATGAACAGGAACACCTGGGTCACCACACAATCCTCTTGAATCTCCTGAAACAATAAAAAATAAAAATAAAAAAAAAACAAACAATGAATTCATAAACCTGCAAATTTGGACAAAAATAAATAAATAAAATAAAAAGCTAGAACTACACACATGCTTAATAAATAATCCAGGTAGAAAATCCAATAAAGTTAACTCAGGTCATCTGGACCGTTTCCTTTTTTTTTTTTTTTTTTTTTTGAGGCATTTCGTCCTTCATTCAAAGGACTTCATCATGATATATGCATACATATATATATATATATATATATATATATATGGATTGCTCTTTTCAGGTCGAGGGTGAGGTTCTGCCTCAAGTGGAGGAGTTCAAGTATCTCGGGGTTTTGTTCACGAGTGAGGGAAGAATGGAGCATGAGACTGACAGACGGATTGGTGCAGCAGTATTGCGGACTCCATAACGATCTGTTGTGGTGAAGAGAGATCTGAGCTGTAAGACAAAGCTCTCTGTTTACCGGTCGGTCTACGTTCCTACCCTGACCTATGGTCATGAGCTCTGGGTAGTGACCGAAAGAATGAGATTGCGGATACAGGCAGTTGAAATGAGTTTTCTCTGCAGGGTAGCTGGACTCTCCCTTAGAGATAGGGTGAGAAGTTCAGTTATCCAGGAGAGACTCGGAGTAGAACTGCTACTCCTCCACATCGAGAGGAGCCAGTTGAGGTGGTTCGGGCATAAGGTAAGGATGCCCCCTGGGCGCCTCTCTAGGGGGGTGCTTTGGGCATGTCCAACTGGGAGGAGACCCCGGGGGAGACTATGTCTCTCGGTTGGCCTGGAAATGCCTTGGAATCCTCCCAGAAGAGCTGGAAGAGGTGGCTGTGGAAAGAGACGTCTGGGCCTCCCTGCTCAAGCTGCTGCCCCCAC